CAAATATTTTTGTAGCTACCACCCAGGTTTAAAAGCTGGAGCAGGGTTGGGGTTATAGCTGATGGTGAAGTGCTTGCCTGGCTTTCATTCCAACCCAGCTGGGGAAGGGAGTGTAGAACATTGTCAGCATTCCAGGAGTTTGTATGAGGCTTTTCCCATTTGGAATCCTGCCCTGGGGTGCCCTCCTGGCTGCTAAGAATTTTACTTTGACCTATTTTTGTTTCTCTAGACAAAAAGTGTTTAAACTGTTTTTGAAATTCGTGGCAATGGTTCTCTGTGTGCTGTTTTATATAATGCTTTCCAAGAATCATCCCATCTATAAAGCTGTGATTCATTGTTCTTTTTTATGACTATGCCATTTTTATTCATTTTAACCTTTGGGGCTACCAGAGATGGCTCAGTAGCTAAGGGTGCATATAGTTCTTGCAGAAGACCTGAGTTCTGTTCCCAGTGCTCCCATCAGGTGGCTTATAAACTTCCACCTCCCACCCTATAACACCAGAGCTAGGGTGTCTGACACCCTCTTCTGGCTTCCACAGATATTTGCATGGGTGTGCACATGCCCCAACACAGACACATAAACAAAACTGAAACAAATCTTTTTTAAAAATTGTTTTTCTTCTTGATAGACTTCTAAGCTGTTTCTTAATTTACAGTAAGACAGCTTGTAGGCTGAGCTATCTAGGAGGCTGAGGCTGGAGAATACTTGAGGCTAGGAAGTCAGAACTAATTTGGGCAACATAGTGCCATCCCATCTTCAAAAAAAAAAATTTGTTATTCTTGCTTTATTCTTGTATTTGCCATTTACAATTTTGATAACAACTAAGAGCGTGCAGTATGCAGTGCCTATATATACAGCATCTCATTTAGCTCTCATTTTAGATTTGGAAACTGAAACACATTATCTGTTTTATAACAGAAAACCAATGGGTACTAGGGCCTGTCACTTCTCCATACTGGCATTTCTAAAATTACTGGAATACTTCTGAAAGTCTTTGGATAGCTAGGTGAGTGTCACTTTGCACCAACAGTATCTAAACTTGGCTTTAAACACAGCACATGCCACATAACTTTATTTCAAAGTTTAAATGCTGAACTTAACTGAGTGTACCCAGTTCCCAAACTGTGTACAAGTTACTCCTTCTCTACAATGAGATTTTAGGAGAAGCCTCTTACGCAGTAGACCAGTCTGATGTTGCCTCAGTGTGGAATGTGCTGAGTTGTGTCGCTGTTAGAATGCTTCTCCCTGGGCATAGTTTGTTTGTTTGTTTGTTTTTAAAGTGTAAGGGGTTTGTTTTGGTTTGTATTTTGTTGAGGGGACTCAGGTAGCTCAGGCTGGCCTCAAATCTGCTTTATAGATGAAGGTGACCTTGAACTCCTGATCCTCTTCCCTTCAGTATGACAATACTTGGCTTTAAAAGTGTAGGATTTTGAAAATGTATATATTTTAAGCAACTTTAAGCTCAAATGAAAGTGACTATTAATATAGTAGCAATGTTGAATTTTTTGCAACAGATTCAATATTCTTTGAGGATATTTGTATATAAATACTTGAGGTTTATACACCTGAAATCTGAAAATGCAGTTTGATGAGGAAAGTAAGATGGACATTTCCCAAGGCATCCATCTTAGGAAACATCTTAAGGTCCATTGTTTACTTAAAAATAATAACCTTTGGGATTGCAAACATCACTTGGTTTAAAAATATATTTCAGCAGGGTTTTTGTGTTGTACAAATACTTAGTACACAAATTATTGTGTTTTAATTAGTTGTTCTTGAGCAAAAGCATTGTGAGTTTTTTTCCTTCTTCCCCCTCCCTTTTCCCCTTCCTCCTCATCTCCCATGGCTTGCAACTCACAGAAATGCACCTGCCTCAGCCGCCTCCTGATTGCTGGGATTAAAGGTGTGTGCTATCATTCCCACCCAGTATTGTAATTTTTTTTTTAAGATTTTATTTATTTATTATGTATACAACATTCTGCTTACATGTATATCTGCACACCAGAAGAGGGCACCAGATCTCATAACGGATGGTTGTGAGCCATCATGTGGTTGCTGGGAATTGAACTCAGGACCTCTGGAAGAGCAGCCAGTGCTCTTAACTACTGAGCCATCTCTCCAGCCCTCAGTATTGTAAATTCTTAAAGTAGTATATGGGAATGAAAAGAAGCTTTATAGAAATGTGAAGAAAATTTGAATTTGGAGAAATGTGGGTTGGTAGGCAGTTATTATGGATGTTAAAGAAGCTGCATGTTAACAAACAGAGTAGCTAGTGAAAAGGAGTGAATAAAGGCAAAACACAATTGCTTGAAATGTGAATTTAATATTTGAAGGTAGGTTCTAGCTGTTTAAATATAAATCAGAAAATGTGACGTGTGGACTAAACCAAATAACAGATGGGAAAATGCTAGAGTAGCTTTGTTCCTGTGTGGCTGCACCATGGTGAGCAGTGGGGGTGTTTCCACAAAGGTAAGCTATCTTCATGCACTGGCTACTGGAGAATTTGTTTCATGGTGAATCTGTTTCTTACTGGCTAAGGCCTTGGTTCCAAGGGTAGTTAAACCTGTTTGGAGCTATGCTGAATTGCTGGGTACTAAGGTACAGTTAAGGGTGGTAGTTTTGGTGTGCCCTGGTACAGCTGTAAGTTGACTAGCAGTGACACTGTGCTCATGTCCATTCCAGAAAGCTAGAAGAGAATCTCAAAGTTGTTACCTTAAAGAAATAATCAGTGTTTAAGGATATAGATGTATTTTTGACTTTACAGACTGCTACATGTATCATAGCATCCTGTGTGGGGGGGAGACACTCAAATGCACACATATGTAACTTAAACTTTTTTTACATTTAGAGAGTGTGTATGTGCGCACACACTTTGATAATTTGGTTCTTGTGTATGGTGGTCAGAGGATAATTTTCAGGAATGAAGTCTCTTCTTCTATGTGTTTTGATCCAAGTCAAGTCCTTGGGTTTGGTAGCCAATTCCTTCTCTGCTATCTTGTCAGCCTTAAGTGTGGCCTTTTTTTGCTTATTCAGTTTATAATTTTTAAAAAAGTACCCATTGGATATTGTGAATTTAACTCATTTCCTGGTATATTCCTTATAACAAGATTGGCAGAGGAAATAAGTCAAAGAGTTCCTTTGATCTAGTTAACTCTCAGTATTTCTCAGTTCTGAGGACAAACATCTTTACTTCTTATCTGTAGACTTGGGTGAAATAAGGAATGTTTGTTTCAACTCTGTATTTTAATTATAGCAGAACTGTCAATTTCTTTTCTTCAGTTTCCCTTGAATGTTTGCTTACTTCATGGGCTGTTCTTGCAGCCCATGTTAGACTTACCTCTGGACTTCGAAGTGAGGTTCAGGATTGTATGCTCTGCAGCTAATCAGGTCTGTGTCTTGAACACACTTACCACAAAAGTGGCTACAGTGCCTGTCTCAGCAGGAGTAGAGTCTTCCTGCTTTGAAGAAATCAAAGGGAGAAATTTAAAAAAATGTTTCTGGTTAGGGTAAAGGATACTTAACCTGTGATATATAAAATAATACTTTTTAAAGTAGTCACATTGTCAGGAATAAAGGAGAATTTTGTGTTATATTTACATAATACAATTTTAGAAGGGCAGAATTTTAATTTAATTAGTCTCCATGGTTCTGTGGGCTGGTGAGATAATGATTTACAGATGGCAATGTTTATCAGTTTATGAGGATTCTGTTTCTTTTTTCTTTTCTTTCTTTCTTTTTTTTTTTTTTTGAGATAGGGTTTCTCTGTGTAATAACTTTGGCTGTCCTGGAACTCTCTTTGTAGACTGGGCTAGCCTTGAACTCACAGATATCCTCCTGTCTCTGCATTTTGAGTGCTGGGATTAAAGGCAGGCGCCACCACTGCCTGGCTCCACATTGTGTTTTTAAGCTGTCTTTTTCTTGCAAACTCTGCCTTCACTTATTGGTTCCACTGGTTGCCTCTGCCTTCTGTGGTCTGATCATCCTTTCTCAGTGCCAGTTCCATCTTGAAGGAGGCCCTGGGATGCCACATTTAATAGTTCCTCCTCTGTTTTGTTCTGATGATAGCCAGATTGTCTTTAGTAAACTTGCGTACCTGTCACATAATTATAGTTGTTCTGAGGCCTCTGTGAGCCATCTTTACCATCCATGCTACTGCTTCTCTTAAAGTCTCACTCACCACTGTCTCAGTTGTGGTTGGCTGACTGTTAAGACTTCCTTGGTTTGCATCTTGTGTATCCATTATCAGGCATCTTCAGTTAATGTGTGAGGTAGGTGGCCAAGAGTATGAGCCCATTTAATATAACTTCTGGCCTCACCACAGCAAACTTATGTATAGGTGACACTGGTCTGAAGAATGACTGGAACCTTCCTGGCTCCCCCTCCTTTGCTTTTTGACTGTCAGCAAGTCAGCAGATCAGCAGCTGGAAGTCAGCAATAAGTCCATGCCTGACAGGGATTGTTTGTGAGATGGTCAGTGTTTCCACTCAATGCCTAGTTATTTGGGTGGAGGAGGGCTCCTAACAGCTGAATCCACAGAAGGAAAGCCAACAGAATGTATTCAGCTTCTGTGTATGGTTCTAGGCTGTGGATGATGGATGGTCACTTGAAGATTTCTGTACCTGCTTTTCCTACAGTTCATTAATCGTAGTTACTGTGGGTTGTCTGAGAACAAAGGACTCGATTAAAACATGAAAATGATGTCAGTCTTAATAATGGCAACTATTATGTTTTAACTGGTGACTTTTAAATAAAATGCTTATTAAACTAATTCATAATTTATAGTTACAGACTGTATTCCATGTTCACTATTACAGCATTGCTCATCATTGTCAAGTGATAACTCAGAATAATAATTTGTTAAATCAATGGGTTTGTGAAATTGTTGACTTTCAATATTTGCTTTTTGGGTAATAGTCACTCTTATTTGATTACAGATTTAAAAGATAAATGATTGCAAGGATAGTGTGGTTGACTCACTTGAATTTTCTCCTCTTCCTAGACCTGCTCCAGGCCCTGGATCAAAGTGGTTCTTTTCCTCCCCACTGACTTGGAACTGGAAATAGAGAAAAGAAGCAATCATACTTTCCTTTTAATTGACCTGAGACTCCAAGGACGGAGACCCAGTGAAATAAAATTATTTTGACGGCCATTCCTCACGCTGTGGAGCTTCCTGCCTGGAGCCTTGGAGCCTTGGTGGTGCTAGTTCAGGCCTTGGAGTGAAAGCATGAGTGAATTCTGGTTGTGTTTCAACTGCTGTATTGCAAAGCAGCCTCAGCCTGTAAGTATCTCTTTGATTTGGATGGGGGCTGCTGTGTCATACTGAAAACTACAGTTCTAGGACTGTCACAGAGAACAGAGGACTCCTGGGCTTGGGGGCACACACCTGTAACCCAGCACTCTGGTAGGCAGTAACTGGAGGAGCACTATGAGTTTGAGGCCAGCCTGATCTACAAAGCAAGTTTAGGGCTGGTCAGTGCTTTATAGTAAGATCTTACCCCCCACCCCCACCCCTCCAAAAAAAAAGAAAAAGAAAGAAAGAAAGAAAAGTAAAATAAAAGGTTGTATATCTTGAGGAAATAGTAGGTGTCAAGAACTGTGCTGGGAGTCTGATATGATGTATGCCTTTAATTGCAGCATTTGGGGGTTGAGGTGAATTTTAGAGCAGTTAGAGCTGCATGGAGCTGCTGTAGGGCCCATTGCTTATCTTTGAGAGGGTGGCATTTCACAGCAGTGACAGATGCAGGAACAGGGGAGGAGGCCTGTGTTAAGTGCCATATCAGCTATTAGATTGGTGCTAGGATGGTGTGACAGCCAGGGCCCTGAAAGTTCTTTTCCACTCGCCTACTAATTTCCTCCCTGCTCTAGTTTCCAGCTGTGGCAGGGTCAGTTGTTTTGTTCACAGTCACACAGGTGTTAGGTGCCACAGGGTGACTTCTTCACACAATCTGTGCTGCCTGGCTTATGTCAACTTGATACAAGCTGGAGTCATTTGAGAGGAGGGAACCTCAACTGAGAAATTGAGATCGGACTGTAGGCAAGCCTGTGTGGTAGTGTCTTAATTGTGGAGGAGTGCCCATTCCACTGTGGTTGGTGCCACGCCTGAGCTGGTGGTCCTGGGGGCTATCAGAAAGCAGACTGAGCCAGCCATGGGTAGCAAGGCAGTAAGCAGCACTCCTCCATGGTCTCTGCATCAGCTCCTGCCTGCTTAAGTTCTTAGCCCTTCGTGCCTTCAGTGGTGGACTGAGATGTGGAAGTGTAAGCGCAAGCAAATAATAACCCTTTTCTCCCAAAGTTGCTTATGGTCATGTTGTTTTGTTACAGCAATAGGAACCATAAGACACAAGCCCTATTTTTGTGCCTCTTAACCTTTATGCAGAGGCCTACATCAATTCATCTCTGAAAGGCTGGGGATACAGCTCAGTGGTGCAGGGTTTTGGTTTTGGTTTTGAGACAGAGTCTTACTGTCTAGGGTGGCTCAGAGCCTGTGATTCTCAGGAGACTGGGCTATAGGTTTTTGCATCATGACTCTCAGTACCCTTTCTGAATGCTGTAGAGGCCAGACTATGTTCCTTCGTGTCTTCAGGACCTAGTATTGCCTTGGGGAATGTGTTTGTACATGCCAGCTGGTTGGCTGAACAAATAAATTTTGTTTTTTATTCAACTTTATAACAGTGTACAAGGATGATTAAATTTTAAAATATATTTTTTCATCAAATCACACTTACATAGCAAGCACTTTAACCAATGAGCTATCTCCTCAGCCCCATGTTGCCATGTTTTAAGAGTGTGTATAAAAAAGTGAGCATATTGTTTGAGCCTAGGCCTTGGGAGTTATAAGAGATGGACTGTGTGTAACATTTGGCATGCCAATTATATATCTGTGTGAACTATTCCACAGAAATCCTTAACCTCCTTCACTTTCTGAAGAAACATATACAACAGGCTGTTTGGTCACCATAGTCAAAGAATACTTTGCTATTGGCTTCAAGCACACACTTAACGAGCACAGTCATAATCTTACGTCCTAAATTTCACAGAACTGTATGTTTACTGTTGATGAAGCCAGTGTCAAGACAGCCTTCTCTGAAGGTTGCTTGGTCACCTCTTAGAGCTTTCTCAAGTATTTGCTAGGATGCAGTGCCACATGCCAGCTCTCCCACTCCTTTATTACTCTGCTTTCGCACATTCCATGAGTGCAGAGGGAAGAACATCACACACGACAGAAAACAGGAAGCGGTTTTCCGCAGTCCTTCATGTTAACACAGTACAGTACGTAGCATAATAAAGAGCCGCAATGTTTCCAGCTGTGGTACCAATGTCACTGCTGCTGTTAGGTAGCGCTAAGGCTGTAGGTTTTTTAATTGAGCACTTCCACCTTGTAACTCAATTTTAAAAGTTCTATGAGCAGCTTTCAAGGGAAGTGAGTCTTTCTGTTATTGTTCGGTAGAATACTGACGACTTCTCAGGTGTCAGATTGATTCAGGGAACTCCCATGTGTTTACACTGCCTGCCTTCTCTTTCATATCTCCCCACAAAGCAATGATAATGACTTGTTCAGTTTCGATGTGTTAGTGCCCTAACAGCACCTTGGAATTTCTGAACGAGCCAAGTACTGATGGAACAACAGTGAACAGACATTTCTGCTCTCAAGGGCTTACTCTGGTGGGAGAAATATTTACTCTGTAGATAAGTATTTATGATGTCATGTGGTGAGAACTGCTTTGTGGGAAAGGAAAGCAGGTAAAGAAGAAAGGGATGTAGGAGAAACAGGGATATGTATTTAAATAAATCCAGAGAAGGCCTCTAAGAAGGTGAGAAGCAAGGCCAAGGGGAGTAAGTTGCACCCATACTGATGAGGCGGACTTTAGTCAAAGAGCCTAGAGTAAGCAAAGAAGTGCAGAGTGGGAAGGCATCCATGAAGACAGTGTGCTGGGAGCAGTGAGACCACTGGTGGGGATGAGGCCAGAGAGATGGCCAGAACCTTTAGCTTTTCCAGGCTATAAAAACCTTTCGAAATAAAAACTGGTTGCATGTTATAACCAAGATGCTAGTGGGAAGACTTTCACACTTTGTGAGCTGTCTGGAGTTGAGTGTGCAGTGTATTGCCTTTTTTTCCTGTTACGTTTTGCTCTGATGTTCAGTTTTAACCCATGATACAAAGTGGGAAGAGGCTGCAGATGACTGCTGGACCTGCCACTGGGCATCAAAGCAAGAGAGTTGGATCTTCAAGGACAGTGGTTGGAGAAATGGTGTTGTTGTGATGGACTCTGGACCTTGAGTATTCTGTCTTTGGTGCAGCTGGAGAGAAGCAGTGGCAGTCTCATGGAGCAGCTGGAAGGCATGAGCTGGGAGCATTTGTGATTTCAGGGAGCCATGTGAAGCAGCAGAGTGGCTGCTGAGGCACTTAGACTTCACTGAAAACAGAAGTGCCTGTTCGTGATTCATTTAATCTCACACAAAACCATAATTATAATTGTTTCAAAACACTAATTTACTTTAAAAAATTATCCTTGTCAATTAAGATGGTTGATGTCCCTGTCTTTTGGAAGAGCATTGAAGAGGACTGACTAAATGTAATTGTGCAATTGAAGTCGAAATTCCAAAGACTGAAAACTGCCTGCCTCCTGAGTGGCCACAGTGCTGTGTGCCCCAGCAAGTTTGGATCTGCAGCTAATAAAGGCTTGTTCTCAGCTCTGGGAGGTGCTGGAGCCCTGAGGTCAGACCTCACTGGAGTTCTCAGTAGTCTGCAGGATGCCTTTGGAAGGTCTCTTCTTTCCTCTAGAGAAGGCAGCTTCTGTGCTTTGTGCCCCTGCTGTGATGGACAAGCAACCCTGTGCAGAAGCCTCCAAGGCTGAGCCAAAATAGACCTTTCCTCTTTTTAAGACAGAGACAGAGAGATGACCAATGCAAGTGTTTCCTGTAGGACGTATTTCTTGTACAGGCGTTAAATTGAAGTACAGAGAAAGTGTGACATTGTCTTCATTCACAGGGCCTTGAGAAATTAGGAAGCCTCTTGACAAAACTGAGCACAGATGGGTTTTCATGATCCAGCCCTGCTATTTGTACTCTTAACCCACTAGGAGCTGTTGGAGAGCTAGATGCAGATGAGATACAAGATGGGGAGCAGAGTCAGAGGGAGTGGAAAGCCTTTAATTGATAATAGAGAACCCATCAGTGTGGCCTTGGCTACCCTGCAGCCGGAAGTTGCACGGACCCTTCTGCTTCAGATTCCTAAATATTTGGCTTGTAGATACCAGCTGCTGTCTTACCTTTAGTGCTTTTCTTAAGTTGATCTGATCCAGTTCAGATTGGGGTCTCTCTCTGCCGCCCTTCCCTTCCCCGCCCTTCCTCTCCCTTATTCTTACAGTTAGCTGTCTTGCAGTTGTAATTTACAAGGTTACAGCTAAGAAAACGAATCATTGCATTAGTATTTAAAAGACAGAGTCAAATTCTCTCTGGTTTTGTGAATGTGTAGAATTATTGTTTCAGCAGTGCTTAGCAGTGCCAGGGATAGCCAGCATGGAATGGGTGTCTTGTCGGTGGACAGGGTGTCTTACACTTTGCCCTTGGTTGAGCTACTGGCTCTTGTCTTGTCTGTATGTGTTTGCCCTTTAGTGTGTTGGAATCTGAGCTTTGGGATGTGAACAGTCAATCTCACGGGACAGTGACAAATGATACCCATAGTTCCTGTAGCATGTTGGCTAGTTTGGCTGTCACAGGATCTTCATTAATGATGTTTTTACTTTAGTTTAATAGTCTAATGGGTAAAATGAAATTGTTCTTACAGTTTTCTTTCTTTGTACTTATGATTGCTAATGAGGTTAAGCTTTCCCCTATTTCTTGCCCTTCCCCTCTTTCTTTCTTTCTTTCTTTCTTTCTTTCTTTCTTTCTTTCTTTCTATCTTTCTTTCTTTCTTTCTTTTCTTTCCTTCCTTCCTTCCTTCCTTCCTTCCTTTTTTATTTTATTTTATTTTAATTTAATTTAATTTTATTTTATTTGAGACAGGTTTTCTCTGTGTAGTCCTGGCTATCGTGAAACTAGCTATGTAGACCAGTCAGCCTCTTCTGGGATTAAAGGCATGCACCACCACTGCCCAGCCCTCTCGATCTCCCTCCCTCTCTCCTGTTTGTTTTTTAAGACAGGGTTTGTCGGTAGCCCTGGCTGTCCTGGAACTCACTTTATAGATCTTGCTGGCCTCAGACTTAAAAAGAGATCTGCCTGCCTCTGCTTCCAAAGTGTTGGGATCAAAGGTGTATGCCATCACCATCCAGCTACTCA